AGAGGAGGGTTTGTGATGTGTGTATATATGGGTTTCGGCAGTATAGGAGATTAGATGGATAGAGTAGATTTGCCTGGATTATTACATAAATGAGCATGGCTGTATAGATACTAGGTAGATGCTTCATGAACAGCAATGTATTATATAGACAAACAAACATACATACAGAGATGAATATGACTCTCAGGTATAGTATAAATTAGAATATAGAGAGTAAGATCAACCACAGTAGAATCTACCAATCCAGATTAATTAGATCAGATCAGATCAGATCGCTCAGATCGGGTCAAATCATTAAGCAAACCACCTACACATTTAAACGACAACCACTCCCCTTATAAATTCACTACCATCCCTCTTCTCTATCTCCCCCCATTTTCACACTCCCATTCCTATCCCCACCTACCTAAAAACAAACCTATCCTCATCCTCCTCCTCCTCCACCACCACCCTCCTCCTTCCACTTCCACTTGCATTTCCACTTCCACTTCCACTTCCAGCCCCCACCCCCATCCTCACCCTCTTAACCGACGTCCCCTTCCCCAACGAACTCGCCGCCGCTCTTTTATTCCCACTTGCCCCAACCCCAAGACCAATACTGCCCTCCCTTTCCCTTCCTGTCCCACTCAAACTCAACCCACTACTCCTCAAACTCTCTCTCTGCGTCGTCGAAGCTCGGGAACTTCGTCCTGTGGATGCGGGGGTTAGAGAGCGGAAGATTCCTGGGTCGTCTTCATTTCCATTGTTGTTTTGGTTTCCATTTTGGTCTTGATTCTCATCCTCCGATTCCGGTATAATCTCCACCTCTGCGCTTAACGCACGCGCATCCATAGGATTTTCAGGTAATTCCTCATCTTCGTTTTCCGAGTTAATTTCTCGGGGTTGTGGTTTTGATTTCGGTTTAGCTTTTGCTTTGGAGGAGATGGGTGTTTGTGTTTCTGGGGTTGCTATTTCTGCTTGTGTTTGCGTTTGTGTTTCTTTTCCTTTTCCTTTGCCTTTGTTTCTTCGGGGTTGGGTGTCGTTGTCGTTTCCTTCTAGACCCCAATATTCGTCGCCGTTTCCATTGCCCCTTTTCTTGAATTCTTCAAGAGGTACGATGACCCTAGCGTGAGCTCTTACTGGTCCATCTTCTGCGCCTCTTCTTCTGAATTTCTTGAAGTTCTTTCTTCCATTCCATTTATCATCCCATCTTTCACCTTCATCCATGTGCCTCGTTGTTTTAGGTGCCGGTTTAGATCGCTTAACTTCCATATCCTCGACTATAGTTAGTTTGCGCATCTCTTCGATGTCGATTGTTGAGACAGCTTGTTTCAAAGATTTTTCTTCGGCTTGTGCAGCTGCTTCAGCACGTTCGCGTTGCTGAGCTACCAAGGCTTCGATATCGACTTCTTTCTTTTCCTTCTTTTTTGCCGATTCGGGAGCTACGACTTCTTTTTTAATAACAGGAGGTGGAGGAGTTGGTTCACCTCTTTCTCGACGTTGACGCTTGAAGGATGCAGTAGTGGGTGCGAAACTATCCATGAATGACTTTTCTTCCGCAATGGGGGGTGCAGACCTTTTTCTTGTTGATCGCCGTGTCGGTTGAGATGATTCTTCAGGTTCCACGGACTGGGACATTGCGCGGTAATTATCAACGTCGCGATTAGGATCTTGAGAAACAAAGAGACCTTGGGATTCTTCGGGAAGATCTTGTTCTACTACCATAGCTTCGGGTATAGGAGCTAGAGAGACCGGTGCTGGTGGAGGATCATCGTCGTCATCATCATCAAAACCACTGAAACGACTTGTCACAGCTCTTCTTGATCTACCTCTTCGAAATTGAGTTTCTTGCGAGATAGGACCCTTGGGAGCAGGAGCTGTTGAGGAAGCACCAGCTGAATTGGACTCAGAAGTCGCAACTGGGTTAGTCTTGGGGGGTGAGATTGGATGGGACTCAGCAGGCGCCTCAATTGGCCTACCAGTATTTGGAAATGTGGCTTATGATTGTCAGTGAATTCATTCACCGTTGAATTCAAAGGAAGCTTACCTGGTGTTGAAGCTGGAGCCACGACTCCAGACATTTCTATTTCAAGAGATCTTCTCAATAACCTTGCATCTGTCTTGAGTACTGCATCCAAGAACTCGCTTTGTAATATGAGTCGTTGATCCAAAGCCAAAGCAACTTGACTAGCAAAGTCTTGGAACCATTCAACACCTTCACCTCTTGTGGGATAAAAGCCCACAACCACAACACCCTTTCCCTCGCTTCCATCCTCAAACTCACCAACCCCTTTCTCTCCTGCCACATTCTTTACATATCTTACAAAGTCATTCACCGGAGTTTGTGTAGGTGTAACTTCACGATATAATGCTTTTCCACGTCCATCCGTGATGGGCGCTAGAAGTGTCTCAAATTGAGCTTTATCGTAGAAAACAAAGGTATAACCATCAAACATAGTTTGCCTCGAGAGATCAGGGGCATAAGATGTTGCTGGTTCGTCTGTAGGTTCCGTGCCGCGCTCGGGAAGATATTGAACAGCATCTGGGAAATTGTTTTTGAAATCTTTCTCCAAGCTACAAGTTCCATCTGGTTCTGGCGAAGTAGCATCAACAATTGCTTTGATGAATGGATCATTATCCACTATATACTTTCCATTAATCAAAGCTCGAAGTCCTTTGGCTGTGTTGCGTTTTTTGACAACAACATGAGACGTTACATCACGTTCATATTCGGTAAGAACTTTTACGTCGAGTGGACCAAATGTTGCATAAAGCGCTTCGAGAGGGTTGGCCTTCAATTCTTTTGGAGAGAATGAGAATGATAAAGCAACAGGGCACCAGGTAATTCTACATAATTCAGCGTCGCTCACACATGTCAAAAGGATCAAGGATAGCTCTTACCGGAATATATGCTTAGATCTTCCTATAATTATTTCATTACTTTCACTCCTGAGTTCATAGTCCTCAATACCCTTGATTTGCTCTCCATTCACCGTGGTACCAGCTTTAGTCTTTTGATCGTTCAAAATGACTTTTGACCGGCTTTTAGGATTTCTCTTCATCAGGTTATTAGTATAGATTCTAGATCTGACTTAGCGTGTACTTACACAATCATCTGGACCAGGAACTCCAACCTCTATCGTCAGATGCTGTCTTGAAACTGACTTGTCGGCGATCGCGAAGTGACCATCTTTACATTTATCAGCTGAGTTAGAAGCCAAAGAATTCGGGCAAACAAACCTTCCGAAACCGTCCTACCGAAGAGATATTTCTTCCCGGGAACGAGCCACCGCGTTTTGCCTGCAGGATCTTAGTATTGTTTTTGGTAGAACTGTGTACCAATATAGATATTTACCGTCAAAGAAGTCTCCATCATTTTCTATAGTCCACATGGTAAATAGAGTGGGATTGATCGTTGTAAATTGAGGACACTTTCTTGTCGACCCATAACATTTACAGAAATATTCAAGAGGAATATCGATGATGATATTTTTTGTTTGGTGATAATAGTGGTGAGTGGTAGTTCCACCAGTTCGGACATTTATTGATGGAATGATTTATAGGCAGCACAGAGTAGAAGAGATGAGATGGAAGCTTAACACGCGAATCTTCACCTCGCAAAACGCCTGGTCACATGTAGATTGCGATAAGGAACAGTAAGAAAAGATAATGCGATTAGGTAAGCATAATTTCCCAATAGCCCCATTCCGTCACTGTACCTCACCGGGAGTGTACCATCACACAAAGATACTTCACCAAAAGCAATCGATTTCAGTATTCAGTATTCTCGTCAGTTTTCGGTTATTCGCTGAGGCTCTTGTTGCTATTTCCTTGGACGCCAACATTAGTCGCAGCATGTGAATTTTACATCTACCTCCACCTTCATCTCCCCCCATACTTCATTTCAGATAGGTTGGAAGTCATACTCTATGTGTAGAATACTGGGCTGTTCGAGCGAGATTCATATCCACTCAGGGAAAACCCATTTCCGAGAATGATAAAGATCAATGATAGCAAGAACTAACGTAAGATGATTCTAAATTCCCATTTTTCTGCTGCATTTCTACGACATCGAAGGACGTTTCTGTGTACATGAACTAAGAAGAAAACAGCTGAAACATATCTCATCTCCCCACCTATTTCACCCTCAATTACATATCCGACTTACCCAAAATAATCTTACATACCCTATAGGACTGTTCCAATTTTATCCCTTCCTTGATTCAATACCATCATTGCTTTGAACACTCAAACGATCGAGCAATTTCGCCAAACTTACAAAGCGTTCCAGATAGAAGATGCCGAGGCGTGATCACCATTTCACCTCAGTGTCTTCATCACTGTCTTGAAAATACACCTAAGATCAAGCGAAACCCCACTTCCCCCTTTGACTCCATTCCATTCACATCCAGCCTCACATAGAAAACTAAACTGCGCGTTGATATATCTTCTCGACCCGGGCCGCCATCAGCCTGCGAGCCGTCCTCTAGACAAGTAAATGGAGCAGTACCTCGAGGCTTGATACATCAATAGTGCCACCCATGAAGTCACTTGTTCGATGTGCTATCATCGTGGCTAGTGTTGTATCTGAATGGTCCCTGATAGTATGTTGATATTGAACAAGTCAAATGGAATCCATTATAGCTTGAGGCATTCCCATATTAAATGCGGGCGGGGGGGGGGGGGGCAACCGTCGTGATTTTGGCTCGCAATAGAGTTACATATTACGAGAAGTCTTCATATCAGGTCATGGCACATCTCGAATTCCCTTACATTATTTCACGAAAAAGAAGACGGAAGATGAATAAGAAAATTTTGCTACAAGAGCTCGCTCTACTTGAATGACATATATCAAAAGTATGCAATTATTTTCATAGTGAGGAGGATTGATCATTCTCCAAGATACGGAGCCGGAAAAAACAAATCATTAGAACGACAGAACGACAGAAAGAAAACTTCCATTAGGACTTGAGACGAGACTGAATCATAGTGTGTTCTCCCCGATGCTTCATGAATCAGCATTATACAACAGTGATGAGATACCGATGATCAGGAGGTTCAGCATCTGATAGAATCTCAGAACAAGCTGCCTCAGCTGTCGCCAGACCTTGTTCTTCTAGAACTTGAAAGAATGGCTCATAAAGCCCAGAAACATTTTCCTTCTCCCTAGAATCATAATAAAGATTGGAAAAACTAAAATTCCCAATCCTTGTGTACTTCCTCGTTGCGGAATCCGTATTTTGGAGAACGATACCCAGAACGACCAATTCTGGTATCAATTCATGTTCACTGTTAATGAGACCAACGGTGCCTTCGCGTCCAATCAGTGGTACCAAATATACAAGTCGAGCATAATCTTTGTCAATGTCATCTAGACAGTCTAAACGGACTGGGAACTCCTTCTTTTGACAGCGAATATTCAACGAAATTGCAGCGTCACCTCTACATCCTGATCCATTTAAAGTCTCCGTAAAAACAATATGGCCAACTGCCATAGTAGAGCAAGCAAGTCGGATGAATCCATCAATAACCTGTCCGAAAGGATTGTGGCCGTAAGGAGTCGTACCGGCATCCACAACATGCGCATATCTAGTATCGAGCCTATCACCGTGTAATTGAGGCCATTCTACCGGCCCATCAATGGAAGTCCAAGACCAAGAAGGGGCTCGCCAGAGTGGTCGCTGCGAGGCCTTAGACCCCATTAGAACCCAACAAAGCTGTTCTTCGATATTTTTCCTCCACATCCCGGCCAAATACTGATCGCTATTCTCGTCGAATTTTAATTTTGCAATGCCAGAAAGTGCTGATAATTTATCTTTCCCATATGTTAAATTAGCTGCCGAATAAAGTTCAACGATCTGACACCAATTCCAGTTCCATCCGGACTCCCTTCTGCGACAGACAATTGGTCGAACATAACTTTCTGTAAATCCATCCGGGAAGAACTCTGACGCAATTAAAGACCTGCATTCCCAAAATGCACCACGATCACCAAAGTGAATGGTTCGTGGTGGCAAAACTTTCTCTTGCAGAGCCCATGCTCTTGTTCCAAGATGGGCTCCTAAGGTCGAACTTTCGTATTCGTACATTGTTAGAAAGTTCTGTACTCTTTGATTTCCATCATCAGTGATTCGTGCTCGAACGCCGCCACTAAAGTTTGGTTGTTTAAGAAAACAACCTTCGGTGCTGTCGCGAGCTGATGAGGCAGCTATATTGATGACAGAACCACCATATACTGAGCTCATTAGCGCAGCTTCTTTCTGCCAATCATCGTCGTCATTCTGTATAATGCACAAAGAGTCAATCCACAAGAAATCAATGCCGAGTTTTTGTGTAATGTTTGTTGCATCTTCGAAAGTCTTTGGAAGAATGTTCAGTGGTATCTCCTTCATTAGTTGGCCGATATTTTTAGTTGTAAGCTTGATAAACTCATGAGATCCCCAGCTATGAGATAGCGTTGCATATCGCAATCTCTCTTGATAATTAGCCGTGAGAACAAGTCGTGGCGATTCTCCGGCGACAAATATAAGCCGCTTTGGCAGAACCCCATCGTTATTGCTTTTGCAGACTTCATGCTTTTGGATACAATGCGATAGCCAATTGTTCGCTGTGCTGAATACATCTGGCAATCTGTCATAGCAATCGGCTTCATTCAATTAGTATGTTAAACAACGACATATGGTAATATGACGAACCTGATACTGGGAGAAAAGAGGACACGAATACCAGCTCCATCGCTATCCCGTGGTTACAATCATTGCAGACCTTCCCCGGTAGATTGAGCCAGAGCAGTTGTATTGGGTTTATATCAGCGTTTTGAATGGATATATATGAAATTGACCTCTCGCTTAAGAGCAACAAGCGATTCTCAATTCTACGAAAGAGATCGAGTAGCCTCGTATCTTTGAGGCGTTGGATCAAAAACGCGCAAAATTTGCATCCAGCCCGTGTTGATGCTTCTAATTCGAATGAGTTACATGGCCTCACAGCAGTGTGCTCCCAGCCATGCTCTGAACCAGGCTCTGAAACGTGCTCTCTAGTTGAAGAATTGCCCAACGTCGGCCAACTATCAAAAAGTTCTTGACATTTGATGCAAAATCTTCCGAGAATTGGAGTCGCTGCCGAATCCAATATGCGCTGTTCAAACAAATTCTCGTCTAGCTCATCAGATGCTACAGCTTGAAGTAGATGATGATCTGAATAAAGATCATAAGCGTCTGTTGACATGTATTCTTCAAACCATTCCCTCAAGCCCTCATTCTGAGCGTTGAACTTTTTTGGGTTGGAATCTCCATCATCAGAAATTTGGATGTTGCTGGCCATTTTCGCTTGCTTCGTGAGAGACACATGAACTATTAAACGTGGCCAGGAGGGAACCTTATCGCTTTGCCGGTATAGGATTAAAACAGAGGAGCAATCCAGATACAGCAGAAGATCAAAATATTTCTATTCCTAACTCCAATATCTCATCCACAGTGAAGGTAACTCCACCGCGATCCCAATGCGTCACCTCTATGCAAAAGAATAAACTAGCATGAAAGATCGTGAATACTCATATAGCAGTATCTCAAGTCATAAATATCGTTGTAAATCAGTTGTGAAATATAAAAGATTGTTGAAGATGGTCTCTGATTATGGCGTGACATTAGATGCAAGCATGAGATGAGAAATTAGTGTCGCTGCACGGACCATGTAACACTGAGTTCCCCTCCTCGAGCCTCCCTGCCCCTTTCGTCGCCAACGAATCACTTGGTGGTTAATGGGTGACATTTGTAAGATTTCTACTTGGTGTAACTATTAAAGTGTACACTGCAATATTCCATACACATAAGACTTCATATGGGTGACAATTCTTTCAAACTGGATGTATCTATCATCTTTTGTATTTATAACTTTTGAAGATCCATTTATACTAAAAGGAGAGAAAGCATTACAGTCAACACACGCTCCAATGCCATGATCATAAGATACAAACTCCGTCACTGTAGTATACCAAGACCAAATCATCATTAATCACGAAGAAAAACATGAGAACCATAAGAACATTCCGCCAACCTACGCTACCCACTTCGTCGCATCCAACCCAAGAATCTCAATTTCCTAGAATCCGACTCAGCAGACTCACTCCTTTGTGGCTGCGGCCCCGTGCTCGTGAAACTTCTCTGAGGAGCTCCTGCAGAGATCATAGGTAAACCTGACCAGGTCGTCGGTTGTACTAGGGAAACTGGCCTATGAACTTTTGCTGGAGATCTAATGACACTTTCGGTCGATGTAGAGGCCGATCGAAGAGCTCGGATACTCAAGAGATATTTGGGGTCTTTTTCATTCATATTATTTAACGTGTTGGGAGAGGTGGCCGTTGCTGGTCTTGCGGGTGGTGAAGGTGTGCGGAGTAGACTTCGGTCGATTGGCGTTTCGAGAACCGACTCCTGTATATTATTATTGAGAGTTTGTGGAGAAGGGTGAGGCGAACTAGAGTTAGTGCAATCTTTTAAGGCATCTGGTCGCAAGTTCCCTGCGGAGTTTTGAACAAGACAATTGTCATCAGACTTTGTTAAAGTTTCTGCTTTGGTAATCTTGATAGGAGATGGTGGGGATGGGGACTTGCTAGAGCCTTGATCGCTTCCCAACGTAGACTTTTCTATGTGAGCCCGAATACGTTTCAAGTGGAGGTCACTTGATGCTTTCAGCGTTCCTGGTCTAATTTCCGCAGTGGGAGTATGAAGGTCAATGCTAGTTGTGTTCACAGGACTCTCTGGAATATCGGGCATATGCCTTTCACTAAATTGCGATCTTCTTTTGGTCGAGAAATTGGGAGCTTTAGGCAATGGTTTGTCTTTCTCGTTGTAGATTGATCGATGACTTTCTTCTCCAAAAGGAAGGACTTCTCTTTGATTTGTCTTTTGACTGTCACAAGTAATGTCTGATCCTTGTTGAACTATGTTAATTACAGCAGTATTAGATGTTTTCTCTTCTTGACTATTCAAATCAGCTTCAGGATCTTCGTTTAACTGACGATAGAAGTAACCAGGGCTGAAATCTCTGGAGTTTCGTGGATTCAGCTTTTTTGTATGTCGTTTCGAGTTGTTACGATCCTCCGCCTCCATGACTTGATAGGTCAACGCAGACTTCTCCGTCGAATCTAGTAAATGCTTCACTGGGCTATGAGATGGATCAGTCGAAGTCGTTGATGGTGAAAGTTCCTGATACAGTTTGACATTATCACCAACTGTCGTAACAGATAGCGAAGTATCTGGTCTCACTGGGAGATCATCATTGTTTCCAGGGTGTTCAAGAGAGTAGACTGACGCCTCGTACAACCATGGACTATGGAGACTTTCCTCATAATTCGGAAATTGTGGTGACATCGGAGCAATAGAAGCACTATATAGATCTGGTGTCTGCTTTATGGCTGAATAAAGTTGCGGAAGTGGTGGCCAAGCAGATCGATCGGGCACAAAAGATTGGCGCGAGCTTTCTCCATGTCCGAAAATAGCTTTGAGTAAAGTTCTGGTATAATCTAGAGGAAATCCGGCGATTCTAACCGATGTAACAGTGCCACGAAGGTTTATTATTGCATCACAAAATTGCATAGCTTCCTTCGGGAAGTATTCTGGTACAATAATTAGTAGGGAACGGAAAGAATTTCGAACCATGAAGCAAAGGGCAAACCTACCAAACAATTCATCTGCCTTCCAATCGGGATCATTGTCATCAACTGGACGATAACCATTGAAACGTCGACACAATAGAGTAAGCTCAGCCATCTTACCACGTCGCTGTATCAAACCACTGACAAGATCAAGTAGAAGACTTTCCATTTTTTCCATGTTGTACTCGAATCGCCTAGCAAACTTCAGCGCATTGCCACCGAACCGAGTCAGGTCGAGTTCAATTGTGAGGTGTTGAATCCTATTCAAAAAATTGGGCAACCAAATACTCGAGAGCGGAGTGAAAATCGAACTGCAAAATGGAGTCAAGGTAACATGAAAGTGATATTCGGTCCAAAAGTAGGTCAAAATATCATTTCTCATGAAGCTGAAAGATGCCAATGCTCCAGAAACAATTTCAAGGATGCTCCACGGTGAAGTGAAGTAGTAACCATGATAGCAATTCCTCCAAGCAAATTCAGGGGATAGAGATATCGTAGTGTCTGTGCTACTAGGTAAGCAGTAAGAATATATCTTACGGCGAACTGTTGTAGGCATATCAAAAAATGGAGAAAAATTGTCGTTCTGTCGGGGTGGAAGGCAATTCTCGAAACTCTCATTTGAATCCATAGGGACGCCATCGTTAGCGCAAAGGTCCCAATTCCTGTCGAAGGGAGGATCCCAAGGAAGGGTAGTCTCTTTGGCAGTCGTCGAGATGTAGGTTTGTTGAGATCTTGAGGTTTCTCTACTGGGCCCCAATGCTAAACGCTGAAGTCGTGTAGGTTGAGAAGATTTTTTGCTTTTTGTAGACGAGTGGCGAGAGAGAGATAGCCAACTCGAGCGATTAGACTTGCTTGAATTTGATGGAGGTTGAAGAGTCAATAACATGTCATTCTGTGGAGAGCTGACTTGGACACCTTCTGGGATTTGGAATGAAACTACTGACGTTCGCTTTGCAGCTGGAGGCGGAAGGGGTGGTTCGAAGTTCAGTTTTGTCTGATTCATTATGGGTGGAGCCCACACTCCTGCAGAATATCTGCTAGATGTAGATGATGCTCGAGTTGGAAGCGAGACATTTTTCTCCGGCAATTGCAATTCCCTTATAGATTGAATGGAGGATCGAATATTAGGAGTTGTCGAGGAAGAATGGAATTTCCTAGGAAGGCGCGATTCAGCCGAAGATGACGTTTGAGTTGGAAGGAACTGACTGTCTCCTTGTGAAGGAACATCCTTGAGTGATTGGACAGAACGTTTCTTATCGGTAAAGAAGGTAGTGGAAAGGGATCTCGTAAGTTTGCTTGTAGTGGATGCTGCACGAGTTGGAATTTCTTTCTTGGGCGAGAAAATTTCTTGCATAGATTGCACAGACATTCTGTTGCTGAAAGAAAACGGCCTCGACGTGCGCACTTTGTTGACTTCTGATGATGAATTGTTCGGAGGCAATTGGCCTTGCTGTGAAGACAATATTTCAGTGGATTTAGTGACAACATGACTGTTGGGAGATAAAGAGGTGGGCTTTTTGAATCTGCTAGATTTCGATGATATGCTAGGTGGCAGAGATTGGCCTTTGAGTGAGGTCAAAGAATTGTGAGTTGATTCAACAGAGCAACCACTGGTCTGGGAAGTTGTTGGAGACCCAGATTTTCGAGAGAGGGGAGACAAAGATCGTTTAATTGACCCAACAATAGACCGTCGCAATGACACTGATATTGTTAGCAGGATTTGGATAAAAGATTAATCTCAGAGCTTACATCTCTTATTGCCAGAGCCTATCTTCTCTGTATAGTCCATGGCTTCTGGAGTTTTAATAAAAAAGTTGTTTAAGAAGTAGTGTGATGCGCCGAAAGATCGGTTAAGATAATTGATTATTTGATCACAGTGAACTGAAATTTCACTAGCGAGCAATATCAGCAAGGCTGTGCAAAACCTGTGAATAGGTAAATAGGTGAGGGATGAAGTTTGTTCGAGATGTCTTTAGTGAATTTCACATTCTATATTCAATAGCAGATTGTTAATAATGACTTCTTCATATTAAGCTCCCTCGCGTGAAAATGTCTAACCAGTCTACGCTCCATGTTTAACTAATTTGCCAATTTATCAGTATCTTTAGATACAACAACGTGGCAGGAGAAAGGTATGTTCCAAAATGCTCATACTTTTCCCAGGAAATGATGGAAAGTGCGATCTGAACTTATGTTTCAAAGAAACTCTACAGCTCTCAGAAGAAACCTTCATCCTAGAATATTTCTGGACTCGAGTTATGAATCAGGAACATTCAAAATCTTGCAAAAATGGCTCCATATTGAAAGATTTCACTGTCTCATCTCAAAATCCTCACTCGAGAACCCTACATGTAGGAAATGATGCACCACGATCTCAATTTGTGACCATGGAACTCTGAGATATGCCCGCTAGCTAAGCGACCCCCAATGTGAAAAATACACCGGGTGGGTAGCCAGTCAGTATATCTACTCATGCCTGGTGAGTAGGTGTTGCCATGAGGGAAGTATCATTCCTCTGTTAACAGTGGCAGTTTTCATTAATCTTCGATCAGAGCCTGCGTAACCTAAACATTGTCATACATATCCTGTGACCCTGAGCCACTAGATCTATGTATCATCCAGGAGCGTCATGTTGATATATTGGAACAAATACTCTGAGTGCCAGACAGAGAATTCCGATATCTGGCAATACATGCTTAGATATTGCTATGGCAGGTTCTGTTGAGAATCCCTGAGGTCTGTCCATTGTAAAGGTTCCGATATCACTTGAAGTTGTCACAATGTTGTAAGACTACGATATCGGAATAACAGATATTCCGGACCCCGCCATCGTCATAATTGATTTTTGAAAACCATTTCTTTCCTTTTACACAAACGGAACGCATAGAATTTGATCGCACACAACAGGCATATCCTTAGGACTTTCACTCTTTGAGACATCCTCAACACAAAATTACTACAACTGCACTCTCTGATAGTTTATCACAATCGCAAGCATGAGTGCGCCACCTGCCAAGTTCGATGCCGAAAAGGCAGACAATTTTGAAGATGTAAGTTATCCTCCATTGTATGCGCGCAAAACGCTCTTATATACACATTACTCTCCACGGAACTGATGAATTTGTAGATTGAGAAACAATTCGCAGTCAAAGGTTCGCATATCTCCAAGATCTTTTTCTAAACACCCCGCCATTAACATCGAAATTAGCTGTTCAACATATGTCCACATATTGGGCTATCCTCGAAAAAGTCCGCGGATCCTCTCTCAGACTCACAAAAATCGACAACGAGATCTATGAACATTTGATGAAGGATTTCCCAGAACTTGATCCGGCAGCCACAATCAATGAGGATGAAATGAAGAGCAAGACAGGAAAAGAGAGATGGAGAAATTTCATGATGAAATATGAGAAGACCGTGGAGGATTACAATTTCGGAACGATGTTGAGAACGAGTCCAAAATCTGAATATGAACAAGACGCAACCATTTTTGGTATGTTGATGTTAAGGTGGTCATTCGGCAATGATGAAGCTAACGATGGCCTTGTATAGTCCCAAGAATGCAATTCTATGCTTATGAGATTGCAAGGTTAGTCGATTTTACCTACATGAAGCAAATTTTCCCTAACAACTCAATAGGAACCGCAAAGGTTTGAACGATTGGATCTACGAAAAAGAGCACCCAGAGGCCGAAAAGAAGGCTGCTTAGGAAAATGACTCAAATAATAAATTTCGTTTAAAAACATTATACCCTCGATCATCAGAACATACATTTAGCATTATATTCTATAGCCATGGTGGAACTGAACACGTGAGAACTCGAAGCCGAGTCTTTCTTATACACTGACGCCGCACGTTATCACCCGTTTGAGATCTAAGTTTCTTGTCTTTGATCTGCTTCCCAGATTATATATAGGTTGATGTACTTGGGCATTTGTAACCAGTGCTTTCGGGAATCTAACACATGTTCGATCTGAGCAAAGATAACCTGTAACTCTGCAATCCCCAGTTTATTTTAAATCCGCAACTATGTATCCTGCATCTCTACGACCTGTATTTCAACAACCTGTATCTCAACGCCCTGCATTTATACACCTTTTAATTGTATAACCTGCGATTTTGCAATTAAATGACTCTTGGCTTTAAACAATCTTAAAATGTTCAGCCAAGTGGCCAGACCAACTCCAGCTTCGGTGGTAATATAAAGACAATGGTATTAACTCGTTTTTATAAGTATTTATTTTCTTCATTATAACAATTTCACTCATCTCTCTACACAACTGACTTCTTCTGATACCTCTACACTCGATTATCAATTTTAAAATAAATATCTATATACACGATGCCAACCATACCTAAAACCCAAGAACGTGCTAAGAAGAGTGGAGATGCAAACAACCGAATTGGCGAGAAGACCGATGTGAGCAAGGGATCTAAGGTCGGGAAAGCATCGGATTCAACTGATAAAATCCCAAGATCATCGAATGGAAAGTGGGATGATGGTGTGAAAACTATGAGACGAGTTCAAAAGAAGGACGATGCGGATGATAGAAAGGCTAATGGGGTGCAAGGCGTGTTAGCTAATGCAGCTAAAAATGTGGTGGACCCCAAGAAACAGGGAGGAAAACATGGGCTGTTGAGATGAGAAACCATGGATAAAGAAACACACGGTGCGGGCAGAGAGAAGAAGGGACTTTGTTAAGTAATTTGGCAACTGTTTCATCTAGGTGCGGGGCGGAGCGGGTTCTTATATGTACCTAGACGGAGGGGGGGGTAAAATGGTATGGGAATGTGTACGGAAATTTGCAAACTGAATGATTCGGTCCAGGGCTGGTTTTTGAGATTACGGGTACTGCGTTCTGTTTGTCAGATTGAAGTTGTCAGGATACTCAACCTTATACACTCATTAGCATATGGAATGGAGTTTGGGTCACAGAATTTCATGAGTGAAATTGAGAAAATGTTTGATTTGTGAATTCCCCATAATCTGAAGTAACTTGGATTTGAAAGCCTTTGAAGTACTTCGGCTGTTTGTTAATTTTATATCCCATCCCTAGCAGTTGAACGACTTAGCATGTTTCGTTGCTCTTATTGATCTCGCTTCCCTCACACGAATGCTCCCAACCAGATCTTTAAATTTGCTTATCTTCTTTTCATCCATACCCAACATCCAGCAACTTCCATTCATACATCAGTCTCGCTATTGAAATATGTCTCTCTATACTTGGGACAAATCTCATTCCATGCATGCTGATGATAGTCACAGAGCTTGACTCTCGCAGGATTCCTGGGATCCGTTTCTACCTTCCAAGGAGACGCCGCTGGTTCCCAAATGGCCTTCATCGTATCAGATTGAAGTCCATCTGCCCATAAAAGAGCATTGTCAATGCTCGCGTCTGATTCTCTACATTTCGAGCCAAAGTAACATCCTAATGATTGTGTAACGTAACATCGTGCGAGGAAACGTCGTGCCGTTGAATGTGTTTGAGTGGAGGACTCAGGCTTGGTATGTTTGTACCCATACATGATAGTTGCCATTGTTGGAAAATTATTCGATTTGAAGTAAAAAGAAACGATGCGATTCATCATCACATCTTGCAAGATGGGGATCTCCTTCTTCTCGGCAAAGATGTAGAGATCCCACAGAACTTCGATGTTTCTGATGGTTTCTGGAAGCCAAAATCTGCCCCGATATGCGAATTGCAAGAATCCTGTGAAGACTTTTGGATCGACCTCAAGCTTGAAGTATGTAGAGTTTCCAATGGGACCGAGGATACTAGTGAAGAGTCTGCATTGGTAGCGAGTGAGTAGCTCGCGATGCATGATGAACTCTTTCTCTTCGCTGTAATGCACAGCGGCTATCTTTACCATGACATGGTTTGCACTGCAGATTCAATTAGTATATCTTACATGCGGCGAAATGTTTTATTCACCGGTTCTCGCCAGGGAGTGGAGCAAAACGAGGGTCTGCTTCTTGCCAGTTGTAGGTGGCGAGAGTTTGAGATATAGATGGCATTTTGTATGCTAAATTATTCTTGGAATATGAAAAAAGTTGTCTAGTCTCGAGTAGAATATCTGTGAGATATGTCATATGAAGAAGTGACTATCTTTGAAGAAAACTTTCGAGTTTCTATCTTTCGTGGTTTGGAGGTGGACTTTTGGTAGTATGTGAACATTGAAAATTTATCTGTGAAGATGTTGTGTCAGGAAAACAGAGTAGAAAGTTCACATGTATAGACAGTTCAGTATCTACGGTTGCAACTCTACAATTTTTTAGTTCCTTGCAGTATGGGCAAGTCCGGGAGATCCACTGATCATAGTAAAACGTCTTCGCAGTACAGTTCTACCGTACCGCGAGGTCTAGAGTGTCCGAATGCTATTAAATTGCACATCTCGAGGTAGCTTGTGGATCATTTGTTGGATGATTTCGAGAGCTCAAAATCCAGCAGAGTGATTTGAATACGGTATACTAAGTGACCCGACTGCGGGTTATATCTTCGCACTGAAACTCGCTCATCCTTAGCCAATACTGTTCTTCTCATTGCAATGTTCTTACAATAGCTTTGCAATCTAGTCAACAACATCTTGTAATGTTCCGGTCGTAGAATAGAGACAATCTATGCTGACCGTACACTTGACAGTACCTCAGTCTCCACAAGGAGAGCTAATATTTTCACAACTGTCTTGATGAAACTGTCACTGTCATTCTCTAAATTTCCCACTGACGATTTTAAAGCCCACCACAATGCGTGAGCTGAAACGAACCGCATCTCAGAAGGAACATCACTGAGAATCTCAGTTTATTGTCGATGCCAGCAAATGATTTGGACCAGGCTTGACGGTGTCATTTACGGGAAAATTGAGACTTCAACTGGTAGTAATACTTGCACGAGCAAAGTCATTTCCCACAGAGACCCCCCAGAGATTGAAATCGTGATTATAGCTCCTTGTTAAATCGGGGGTTTGAAATAACTATTGATTTGAAATTAGAAAAACATGCAACATCACTCAGAAGTACACTTGGATGGGAGCCAATGGATGAAAATTCGATGTACAGGTGTAGGAAGATCCAGTGTGTAAAACCAAGATCTGCTTTGTCCGGTTTTTTGGCCCTTATCCCTATAAACAACGGGATGTATGTTTACATCATTCTAGAGGTATCTAGATTTATCTTTCAAAACTCAACAAGCATACATCATCTTCTTCCTCGTAACTTAAATTTTATGCAATGCAGCTACGGTCTGATAGTAAAAATCAGTGGGGGATCCAAAAATTTAGTCCCTTTGGAGACATGGCACGCTTGGAATTGACCGTGTATTAAATACAAGTGAAAAAAATCCTTGCTCTTATCTATCTGGAAGTCTCACTGCCAATAGGTAGCAAATAGACACAGTACGACTATCTCACAAGAGCGGTTCGTCAGAGGGAATAGACTTGGAGCTGGTTGTGAGATTTTGAACATGACAATCTCCATTGAGACAGTTAGTAACTGATTCCAATTTGCCAATACCTTATCCAAATCCTCAGAACTATTTAGCATGAGATTTTAATCTTGGTACAGCAGTTCAGAAATATTATGACGGCTCTCCTTGTAACTTGTATCAATGAATGACTGGAGAGCGCAAGCAGTAGCTACTACTTCTTCCCGCCGACCATCATAACCGCAAATGGAATTTCTTCGGCCTTTCCATGACACCAGCTTCAAAGCCTTCACTTGCGGTAGTAAATATCCTCAGTTTCTCCAATCTTTATAACCTTTGCTTGTTTTAATCGTTGAAAATGGAAAGATTCAGTAAGCCTTACCACGCCACAACCTCTTCCTATCAGAATAGTAACATTGAACAATTCTGAGCTCGGTCCAAAGATATCTCAAATTACACCACAAGAATGATCACGAGGCAATCTAGTTCTGACAACATCCTCGCATTAAGAAATACTCATAAGAATTATGACATAATGACGTAGAAGCGGTATCCTAAATCTACCAAGGGATGACGGCTCAGTAAGTAAGCATGATTCATTGAAGCTCAGCTTTTGCCAAGCATATCTCACAACTATTCTCAGAGAGAACTGTCTTGTTCACAGTTGATTTGAAATCAGACCAGTCATAATTCAAAGACCTGTAGACTCTACCTCCCTTGCTTGATGACCTCGGGGAGCAAGTAGTCAGGTGTGAAGCAATCCCAGCTCGTCCCTCAGCCCCTTTCTCGTGCATCCTAAAGCTAATATGAAGCGAGAAGAATGTAATTATTTGACGACCTTCCTCAGATTCAACGTTGTTTCAATTGGAATAATATGTGACCCTCGGATGAGCAAGGTACCTGCGTAAATTAACGAGTAAGGCTGATTTTACCATTCAATGCCAGCTTTGGTTGCGCTCAATAATAAAAGTTCATCACGAGCATTTGGGGGTCTCATCTCAACGTTGTATCAAGTATCATAAATATAATTGAGGCTGTCCCTCAGCGCGGCACGATAGATAATCGAAAAACTCGAACACTAATCTTAGTGAGATTTCAGGCACCTGCGTAACCAATCCTAACAAGCTGGTTTCTAATCATTCAATATGTGAGCTCCAATACAACCATTTAGGGATACATGTTAGAAATTTACGATGATCAGCTAAGCCGTATGACAAGATTTTGCCGTGAAAAGCGTATTCTCGGTAAGTTGTGCCGCTTCATCACGCCCCATGAATGTAAGCTTACCGTTTTAAAGAAAAGTAATATCGGTAAGGCTATTAGGATCACAACAATATTGAAAAAGATACGAAGTCACAAGTCAGCTCAACGGTAAGCTTATAGGAATCCATACCATCCCACCCCGTAATATCGGTGGCGGTGTATTGTGCCCCGAAAATTGGAAGAGTCACGCCCATGTTCTGAGGTATTGCTTTCAGCTTCTGCGCACGCCTCTTACGCGTTATGGTCGTCAAAATGGAGGGAACTGTATTGAAGTGTTGAATTTAGAAGCCTAGCTATGCATTCTTGTAATCTATAAATTAAAGGTTATCCCACGAACCTCTACAACTACTACTAAACTATTCAACATTGCCCCCTCTTGTTTTTTTTTCAAGCAACAAACTCAATCTATCACATTCAAACCTATCCTAATTAAATTCAAAGAAAAATGGCTCAAGTACGTAGCGCAAGTCTTTTTCCATTGAAATGAGCCGAACTAACTTAACTATTAGAGCAATGGCGTAACGTCAGAACCGGCCATCACAACGATGAACGGTGCTCCCGTACTAAAGCCAGCATCTACCCAAAGAATTGGCAATCAGCTTAGAGCCACTCTTCTGCTTCAAGATATCAATCTCTTGGAATTGATCCAACATATTACCCATGAGCGAATTCCTGAGCGGTAAGCCGAAGAGAACACTACTCTTCATCACTTATTGCAAGTCTGTATTTGAACTCAACTAATCTGATCATCTTTAGTGTCGTCCATGCAAGAGGTACTAGCGCTCACGGATACTTTGAGGTCACAGACGACATCTCGGATGTCACATCCGCAGCTTTTCTAAACCGGGTTGGAAAGCAGACCGATTTGTTCTGCCGCTTCTCTACAGTAGCCGGTCGAGCAGAATCTGCCGAAACCGTTCGGGATACTCGTGGTTTTGCTTTCAAAATGTTTACTGAGGAAGGTAACTTAGATTGGTTGTTCCTTAGCACTGTAAGTCAATTTGGACGAGTATACAAGAAGTGCTCAAAAGCTTATATTCTACTTAGCCTGTCTTCCCAATTCGGGATGGAGCTAAATTCCCATCTTTCACTCATGCAACCAAGAAGAATCCACGAAGTGGCTTACCTGATCACAAGGCATTCTGGGAGTACGTTTTGATTCTTTGCTATGCTATTTGACAGACTTTTAACTCCTTATAGCTACTTCACTCACAACCAAGAGGGGATTCACTTCCTTATGTTCCTCTTCAGTGACCGTGCTACACCGGTCGATTTCCAACACGCCGACATCTTCAGTATCAACACCTACAAGTTCACCAAATCAGACGGTTCATTCACATATGTGAAGATACATCTTAAGACCAACCAAGGAGTGAAAAACTTTACACAAGATGAGGCCAATCAAAAGGCTGGTGTCGACCCAGACTTCCAAACTCGCAGTCTTTATGAAGATATCGAAAATCAGAAGTATCCAACGTGGGATGTCTTTGCGCAAATCATTGATCCTGTCAAAGCCGAGCATTATCATATCAATATCTTCGACGCAACTAAAACATTCCCATTTTCGGAATTTCCTCTTCGCAAATTCGGCAAAATTACACTAAACAGGAACGTGGATAATTTCTTCGCCGAACAAGAGCAAAGTGCTTTTAGTCCAACAAATCTTGTCCCAGGATGGGCTCTGACTCCAGATCCTAGTAAGTTCTTTCTTCTAGTCAACAAGGACTGTGGTTTTCCGTCTATAACAATTCTAACAAGCATACTAGTTATTCAAACCCGTGCTCTTGCCTACGCAGACACTCAAAGATATCGCCTTGGAGCCAACTTTGTCCAACTCCCTGTCAACGCTCCATACAACAAGCCCTTTACTCCTCTCATTAGAGACGGAGCTGCTACTGTCAACGGCAACTTCGGTGGTACTCAGAATTACTTCCCATCCTCTTTCTACAATGTTGGAGTGGCGACACAATATGCACAGCCTGATGAGGAACAATTCCAAGGAACAGTCGTCAACTTTGAGAGTCAAGTCGTCGATGCAGACTACGTGCAGCCAAGAATATTCTGGGAGAAGACATTGGCTAAAGAGCCAGGTCAACAAGATAACTTTATCAGCAATGTTGCGGGTCATTTAAGCTCTGTTACTGGAGACATGGGGCTTCAAGTTCGGCAAGCGGTCTATGGTATGAAATATAATCATCCCTTAATTTAGATTATTTACTAACTTTTTAACCAGCAATGTTCGGCAAAGTCAACTCAGATCTTGGCAAGAGTATTGAAACTTCAACAGAGGCTTTGATAAAGCAAAACGAGACTGTAACAGTGACCAAAGATCTGAACAATATCAAGATCAGCAAGCAAAATGGAGTGAAAAATGGAATACTAAATGGTAACAGCCATAACAGTGGTATGTTCGCTCATAAGAATTGGAACTAGGAGATGTTGGTTTTGTTGTATTTGTAATGTATTGTTGGCGGTTGGAGCGAGTAAAGTCTGTTTTCTGAATATACGGTTTGTGTAGTTATAAGCGTTATAAGTGCGGGGATGCATTTTCCCCAATCGTGTGAACGAGAAGGGGTAGAAGAGATAGAAGAAGAAGCGGATAATTTTAATTTGTTTTGGATGTATTTGACGCCTTGCATTTGAGTATCAAGAAAACGGACATCCCTCATTGGAAAATTCTCAAAAGTCAAGCCGCACAAAGAGCTGGAAACTTATCCCAAGTTCCAGGAGTTCTGCGCTGTTTTACCAAGTAGCTCGGAATCTCGAATCAATCAACGAGATAGGGAGTGGTTCTTTACACCACACAAACTTAGGGTGAAAGACAGCAGAAACTCATACGAAAGCCGTTTCTTTGCCGCTTGAAAGAGGAGCCTCTAATAATCTCGGGAGTTCGAGATTGCTCAATTCGATCTCTTGACTTAAGAATTCACGTTCCCAGGGCTACCATGGATGTGTAATGTATTGATCATTTAATATAATGGAATAAGGATAATCATATTGCGTATTGAACGAGGTGGAAAATATAAAGCAAACACGCTTGGGGGGCAGCAAATCCCGTCGCCTATTTCTAAACCCACATTAATTGTAATTTGGTATTGATGGTTATTTGAGAGACAGCATGAACGACGATAATTGGAATTTCTTGGAGGAATTATGAACGATTGTAGGAGAAACTCAAATAACAATTTTTGAACGAAAAATTCTTCGATTATTTACAAAGCTTCGGTATAATGTTCTCTTGTCTGGTTGACCCACGACTGTATGCGCCTTCCTTAGTCCCTGGTATATGCCTCCTAGAATTCTAAACGCCACGGGTATTATTTAAAGCAAAATCTTTCTGTACCAATGGTGAGCAGCGCCTATATTATGATGAATACCATATGGGAACTGGCATCGATAATTCCGTTTGAGGATCGTTAGAATCTGACTTATGAAAGCCATAGGTCCCTGCTGGCGGGATGCGGTACGGTTCTGGTTCATTGGGCTGTTCTTGATAGCCTCCTCCAAACAACGAATAATGTATATGTTGCTGACTGTCCCATTGCATTGGAGGAGTTTGCTTCCGATAATCACTTTGTTCTACTGGGACATTGCTTTGTGTTTGCTGAACACTTTCCGGCGTTTGACCACTCGCGGCCACCCTCTCAAATAGAGCCGCCCGTTCATCTTGTAAGTCCTTCCTTTTCACTTCCAGAATTTTCTTCTTTTCCTTGACTTCCTCACGAAAGTTCATCAGTCGTTCATTGCTATTCTTTATCTCTTGAGACAATCGTGAGCGTGCTGCGACCACCTGCCGCTTGGACTTCTCGATATTCTCTTTAATTTTGAGGTCAGAGAAAGTTTTGTCGAAAATGACATCGGACATTAAGCTTCCTTGTGCAATGTTCATCGGACCCAAAGGTTGAACAGCTGGTTGCATTTGTCGTGCTTGAGAAACCAACAATTCTACCTGGGAAGAAAGATGATGAGCTTTCGCAAATGAAGATCGTTCCATCATACAATCGAATCCTCCATCAACTCCCCATGCATTAATATTTGATGATTGTAACGCATGATCCATACTCACGATGCATTGGTTCATGACGGTGGAAGCTTTCTGCAGGATCAATAAAACGTTGGATTCGGTACTTAGCAGTAATTGTCCCTCGTCGAACGAATTTTTGGCACGAGAAAGAAGATGTTCCTTCGTATCTTCCGTTGGGAAATCATGTGATGGACCAGAAAATATAGAATTATAAAGAGCATCCAACTCAGCTTGTGCTGCATTGTGTTCTTCTACCAAAGGTTTCAACGACGAAGCTTTGGATTTAGCATCTTGAAGTGTATCGTTCAGATGACTCAAATGACGCTTGGCTTCCAACTCTTTTTGGATTGCATTCAACCATTCTCGGTGCTCTTGCTCTCCCGCCTCGATAAATTTGTCTTTTCTCCCACGTAATTTGTACGCCAGACGTTTGACAGTGGAGCCTTGATATTCGTCGTAGTCTTGGTGTTCCTTTGCACTAGCTGCAACCAAAGTTCTTACTCGCTGTTCTTGCTGGGAGATAATGCTCTCAATAGATGATTGGTATTGTGTGATTTGAATGTAGTCAGACGGTGCATGGTCCGTTCGTGAAAGTATAGAGAGTAGATGCGCGTTTTGAGCAGCTGATGCTAAAATGTGTTGTGTTGCCATGGATAGCCCTTTACTTTGCAAGTGTTGAAAGCGCAAGAAATTATCAGAAAGGAGATGGAAGCTTTTCAATGTGTGAAGGCTACAAGGAAAGCGGGAGAATGACGCAAAATTGTGTATCTTCAGACCCATTCGAGCGGTTCGCTGTCTGCTGTATATTATGTCAGGGCGTATCCACTCACCGACATGATCGCTTTTTTAGCTGCAGAGTCAGCACAGCCTCAGCTTGTCTGCGCCTTGCGTTTGTGAATCATTCAGCAAATCAAAATCAAGATCAAGGTACGAGAACAATGGCGACAAGAACTTAAACCCCGACTTGTGATTCTGAGAAGCCTCCTTTGGTGACTCGGAATCTTTTGAATGTGGCCATTCACTTGCATAGTTCCACGAATACCATGATACGAGCCTCGATCATGTAAATAGACCATTGTCGAAACTTTGAATGAATATGGAGAGACAATCAACTTCCTTAGTGTTTTGAGGAAGAGAACCGCGCGCATACCACTTCACATTTTGTTTTCTTCCATGAAGCGATCTCATCTACTGGAGTAAAATCACAATCGATGATGCTTGCCAAGGTATTTCAATTGGGTTTGTAAGCAAAAGAACGTAAGGCTTAGCGAGGACTGTGTGTAGCCTTGCATGTTCTCAATCGGCAGCCTTATCTACATCTCAACACAAGCAAACGGCGTCGAACCCTTTCTCTCAAGCATCATATCTATGAATCGATACCCTCCCGATAATGATAATCTTTCTGCAAAATCCACAGGGAGATAGCTGACTCTATTTTCTTTCTAAGATTCGATTCTTCGCCAGAGGATTATGTCCGACATAACCAACACGACCATCGAGTCGAAACGTGAATCTGCCATTGAAATACCAGCGCCAAAACCAATCAATGATACTCGTTTGCGTCGATTTCTAGTGCTTGCTTCAACTAAAATTGCCAGACGAATCCCTTATTGCCGCCGTTATGGCCCCCTCAGGATATCTCCTGGAATTTGCGTCAAAAGCGGAAAATCCATAACTTTGGCCGAAGCATCAACCATGAAATTCATTGGAGAACATACATCTATTCCAGTGCCCAAAATCTACTGTTCATTTGTACACAAGGGAAGCACATATATTGTCATGGAAAAGATACGTGGAAGCCCCTTAGTGCATGGATGGGTACATCGGACACCTGAATCTAAAGCAAAGATACTTTCTCAAATTCGAGAATTAATTGCGGAGATGCGGAAGCTGACGCCGGCAACTTCAAAGATAGCCAATGTCGATGGCGGTATTTTGTATGACGGAAGAATCAATGGGCCTGCACAATTTGGACCTTTCGAAAATACTAATGAGTTTCACCGGTATCTGCGGTCGGATGCGCCAGCTCGAGCTACCAACCCTGAAGGCGTGAATGAGCTTATAGAATGGCACGATGGCCCTTGGCTTGATCCACCTGTTTTCACGCATGGCGATTTGAGTAGCCTCAACATTCTGGCAGAAGGTGACAAAGTTGTTGGGATCATTGATTGGGAGACTGCTGGTTGGTATCCTTCTTATTGGGAGTACACAACAGCTATGTACGTCAACCCATACAATGAATTCTGGAAGGAGGAGGTTGGTAAATTTTTGGATCCGTTCCCAACAGCACAAGCTATGGAAGAGATTCGGCAGAAATACTTTGGAGATTACTGAGTTGCAGCTGCATTGATGTTCTCTACACAATTTCTATCTTCGCTATTGAAATAATGGTAGAGGTCATATTAAGCTCCGAGGGTTGGCACCTAATCTTTTCCTTTGGGCTATCTCCACGCCAGGGACTATGACGTCTGAATAGACATTTGAAGACCATAGGTAACTTCTGAAAGGGGGTGGGCGATATGGGCGATTGTCATGATTACACGCTTTTACGTTCTTAATTGAACCTATAATTATTAATATAAAATCAGGACATTGGGCAAAAGAGGTAAAGACTAATGCTATTCCCATCTATTGTTCCTGAAGATTGTCAGGTCCAACCGAGCTGAATGATATTTCTCTTCTACTTTTTGGCAAGTTAAAGTTGGAAAAATTTCCGCCAATGGATAACATCCATACCCCACACATAGGCCGTTGGATTAAGGGCAGGCGCCAGATCAGAAACTGAAAGCATCCATTGGTCGATAAAGTTCAATTGGCACACATGTGGCTGTTGTCTAATTACAAATGCTTATCAATTAGCGCAAACCAGTATGCTACCGCGGTTCCGCCTACTCTGTCAAATTTACCGCAAGGAAACATGCTTTCAAATTGAGTGGTGTACACGACGACGCCTTCGACATAAGGCTATCTTATGACACAAATGCCCCAGGAGCATTTTTGGCACCGAAATTGCGGCCTAATTCTAACACATTTCATACAAGAAACTCTTGCGCTCCATAAAGATAATTAAGCCAGGGAACTGAACCGTTCAGTATTCAAAGAGAATCCATCCAACTCCAATTTTCGCTGAAGTCAATCATCTTAGTCAATCATGCCTGCCGGTAAGGATCGTTTATATGTAGCGCTTTATGCGCGTAGTGGCAAAGCCGTTATGCCAGGGAAGGAGGACACGTAAGCTAATTGCCTCCGCGTCTTCTGAATTAAGCATAATTCAGCTAACAAAGTTGGCACGAGAAGTTATCATTGGGCTATCTTGGTCGGGCCTAAAAAGGAGGTAGAGGGATCAGAAGGAACACGTTTTCACGCGAAAGAAAGCTTGTCCGTCTCGTCCGGGAAATACGAATGGATATACGACGAACAGTCTATTCGTCTCATATCCACGCAAATGCTTTTGGTTCGAATCATGATCGCGAAAATCGAAGATCGGGGTCGTATGTTGCAAGTTTTGCGGGAACTTCCTTTAAGAAGCGGGACTGAAGGTTGGAACTGCGTAGGATGGGTTAGAGAGGCATTGGTGGAGTTGCAAAAGGATGGAAAAGCTTTGGGTACCGCTGTGGTTGACTGGAGTACGGTCCGAGATGCGGCTATGAATTATTGTCAAAGAAAAAAGGATGAGCATCGTTTTGACGGTGTCATCGATTGGAAGACGACCAAAGCGGCAACGTTTGACTTGATCGGTGGGAAGGAGGTAATACCTTAGAGCCTTATAAATAACCTTCACACAAAGGAGATACAGAAGGTAGGAGGACAATTACCCACCAAGCCATATCATTGTTCTTGTCTGTTAAGATCAATGAGAGACGCCCCAATATTGAAAGCATTCTGAATGTCCAAATTATTTTAAACATTCCAATGAGCTCGAATATCCAAACCACTTTGAAAACCCAAAACTTTATAAACATTCAAATCATGTGAAATATTAGTTGTCTTCAGATGAAACTCTAGATAGCGGCCAAACTCATGCTACCCTCACAACAGTGAACTCCAAGATCTCTTTCTCTGTACTTTCAGGCATAACCTCCTGATCTCATCGCAACTTCTCGATAGTCTTAAATTAAGCTGTCATTTTCCATTTTGACCCCATTTTTACTCTAACTTCATTGCACGATCCCTCAAATTATTCTGCATCATGAAGCCAGCGAACTTCATTCATCAACTGTGTCATTTTCTGGGGAAAAAAACTGTGATCCCGCCGACTTGGTATCCGACCACCAATGTTCCGACTTCTAGAAGGTCTACCAAACTCTTGGCCTCCGTTATCTGTCCCTCTCATGTCCATTGATGTAAAACGTAAGTCGCCCAAATGATATCCATTTCCTGTTTCGTTTCTTCGGACTCGAATCAAGACGTAGAATATCACTTTCGATGTAATCAGCATGAAACTTCTCGTGATCAAGAAATGTTTTGAATTCTAGATCCCAATGATCGACAATATCTAGCCCACACATATTGGTGGAGGGCGCACCATTCAACACAAATCTATGCGAGTTATGACCGATAAAAGTCCCCGCATCTCCCAAATTCGCTCCGTTTTTAAGACTTTTAGAATTGTGTCGCATTTAAATGGCGGGAGATGGTAGGGTTAAGAAACATTTCTTGTCCAGTGTACATGTGAGAACAGATTGCCCATGCGTTTTTGCCCTGAAGATGAAGGTCAAGGAGAGGTTCGATTATGAAGAGTAACAATGTTTTGCATGTGACTTACAATTGCGTTGACATGTGTAGAAGCTCAGTGGATGGGACATTGATGTAGGACTAAAGAAAATATCTGGTCTCTGGCTTTAAATTGTGCGTGGTAGTGGCAAGGTACCAGAGGATGTCAGTCATGTCGGAAATTCTTTAACCCATGATGGCTCAAGATACGTAGTGGAACCCATAATGGTACCTAGAATGGAAAAGAATCGGGACTATGTAGTATTCGATTGGTAGAGTTCCAACTATGATTTCTGCTTGGCAAAGTATTTATAGACGGAGGACAACATGAAGTTGTCCAAGAACGGTATCGGCTGTAATAGTACGTAAGATTTCACCCATTATTTCGTAGAACATGATTATTATGGGTTGATGGTACACAACTAAGGATGGATGTATATAGCATCGAGTGAGAACTGTCTCTTTACCAATGTCTTCCAGCCACCTACCACCTGGTAAGGTTAAGATATGAGATACTGATTGCGCACTTGCGCTGCATAGTTGTATATCGCTGTTACCAATATCTTTCCTGCCTTCTTCGGAACCTTGCTGTCTCAGGATATACACACATTCGGGGGTGTCTGAGGAGGAAAAGCAAACCCTTCAAATGTCCTGATCAGATCAGCATAGCTGTCAATCAATGGTGGTTAGAACCTTTCCCATATCACTAGAATGGATCAGCCTATCGACATATCAATTGGTAAGGTGCTGCTTTGGGTCGCCCTTCGTGTCCACTGCCGCTAAAGTACCAGTTGTCGCGATATCAATGGTGAATGGAGCTTGAGCTTGAGAATTTGTTCAAAAATGTTGTCAGCCGTTCCCCACTTTCTGCTGCCTCGGGTTATCCCCTAACCCCTCTCAGCCTCCTACATCAAGCTCGCATGCTCAACTTACTCGAACTCTGACCCCTCAGATGTTTCGTTATGATTCATGAAATATTGGAAATTAATGTTCTAACAAGCATAAGGCCTAGTGTTTTCTTGACTATGTAATAAATAATGGTTCCTATCTTCTCTTCTTCTTTCCTACTGGAATTCCCTTACCGCTACTCATGCAATCACTGCTCAGCTCAAAGCCTCGTTCTTTCCCAGCTGTGCTCTCCTTACATGAGCTAATATACGCACTCAATACGTGGACGGCTGCAGATCATTTCGAGCATTTAAATCCTCAGTGAGGTGCAACTTCGCGTCCTTTTTCAGTCCTCCATCTTTGAGACGGTTTATTTCGCGAAATGGCTGCATCAAACCCAGCTCCAGATGTTGCTGATATCATTCATCAATCACGTCCAGTAGATACCACAAGTCCATACGATGCCGGCTGGGTAGCAGGAAAAACGATCATTATAACAGGGGGAGCATCTGGTTTCGGAGAAGGTTTCTTCAGAACATGGGCAGAGCATGGAGCAAATGTAATAATAGGGGATGTCAATAGTGCAAAGGGGAAAGCATTGGTCGAGGAAGTGCGCAAGGAGACTGGCAGTCAAAATCATCATTTTTTGTATTGTGATGTAACAAATTGGCAATCACAAGTCGACTTCTTTCGTACAGCTACGGAGCTAAGTCCTACCAAAGGCATTGATGCCGTGGTTGCCAATGCGGGCATTGTAGAAGATCCCATGTCATTTCAGAGACCTGTGGGTCTAGATTTGCCGGAACCACCCAAGCCAAACTTCAAAGCCTTTGACGTTGACATGGTCGGAGTTATGTATACGGCACACTTGGCCATGTGGCATCTGCCTCGAAACCCCAGATCACAAACGGCCAAGGCATCGGCAATCCCTGGCCCAAACACACCAGATAGACATTTACTTTTGATCGGATCGGTAGCCTCAATTGCTCCTCTTGCTGGATCGGTAGAATATTCAGTCGCAAAACATGGGGTCTTGGGGATGTTCCGTTCATTGAGATCTACAGCCTTTGCCAATGGAATTCGAGTCAACATGTTATGCCCATACTTTATTGATACGGCTATAATCCCTGCAGGCGGTAGATTGTTATTGGCAGGCGGGGCGATGGGCAAACCGGAGGACGTCGTAGATGCCGGGACGAGACTCATGGCCGATACAAGAATAGTTGGTAGAGCTTTGGTCATCGGTCCAAAGGTTCGAGTTGATGGAGATTTTGACTTGTTACCAGAGACTTCAAAAGAAGGAAATGAGAAGGCCGTGTGGGAGGCTTATGCTGATGATTTTGTCGAACTTGAGGTTTTTACTCTAAGATTTATCAAGTTGCTCAATACAGTTCAAAGAATCAGAGGCTGGGGAGGTTGGATGCTTGATATTGCTAAAGCATTGATGTATCCCATAAGCTTCCTTAGGCGTCGATAGAATGAACCACATTGGAAAGAATCTAGTTGTATTCTAGATTGGCTTAGGCTTATTTGATTATCACCCTGAAATGGGCCATTTAACAGTGTCATGAGCCTACCAGGTAGGTATATTTGAAATTGGTGTGTGATTATTTTCGTCTGCGTCGTGTTAGGGAGTGCATCATGTTAGATTCATCACATAAGGATTACATGTTGTGAAGAGAGGCGATACACATTTTCCCTGATCTTGATCTTGTATTCAGAGTCAAAAGGCCATATACTTCGTTCAATCGTGCATGTATGAGCTAGGTTTGTATAAACATATTCAATGGGGTTCAGCATACACTCGAGTGAGGAGCGTGTTATCCACTTTGCACTTGGTATTTGGCCTACAAATTTCATTTCAACGTTTCTCATTTTCCAAAAGCCCCTTGTACAATTGAAATAGTTTGCCGATTGATTATATTATAGCAGTACCTATATCTCTTCCCTTCATTCTTTCCTCCCTCCACAACTTCAATAGATCATCGATGTCTCTTTCCTGCAAAACGTGGGGAGAAGGAATTCGGATGCGACTTCCCTATTCGTCTCGCCCACGACTTCTAAAAATGATCTGGTGCAATTTACATGTTCCAAATCTCTTCTTATGACGGATTTACATCGAGATCAATCATTTCTCTTGAAAAAGATTCACGACTCCACCAGTATAAACACGCTCGGATCTATGTAGCCGCGCCATACAAACTTTCACTCTCTATCTTTCATATTTGCCTGATCTTGTTTTCTATCGTCAAAATGTGGCAAAAAGAAGATCCATTTACAACTCCTGTAACTTCATCTAACCTTCCATACAGGTGGGCTAGAGCAAACCGTCATTCACGCTTCTCAGGCTTTCGTGTAACTCCAACAAGAATCGGGATTGCCATGATTTTCTGTGCTGGTCTTTTTTGGTTTCATGGAACCTTACGTAGAGTTGATGCTGCAGAGGTTTGCCCACCGTACAAATTTCCAGACATTACTGACATAATACAGCCTCCTTCAAAGTCTGTTGTCGATTTGAATAATAGCACTGTTCCCGGTGTCCCGTTTCAACCGATAGAATCAACAGCTTATAGAACTCCAGACTCCGTTGACGCATTCGCAAGCTATAAATTTCGGAACACTTGCAATATTTCTTCGCTTGATCTTCACGCTCCTTTTGGTCCATTATGTACAGATCGACAGTCTATGCTTACGGCTATGGCATCTGGTGGACGAATTGGATTTGATGCTCCATATATGCCTAGGACTTGTGATTTTCGCTGGTTCACATCGGAGGAGATATGTGAGATATTCGGAAGGTTTGAGAAAGTTATAATTATTGGGGATAGTATGCTAAGACATGTTACTGGATGCTTCAATATCTTTTTGAGAAAGGATATTGGCTATGGGGCAGTGACGGATTGGAATTTTAGTGTGCAAGAGAGGTAAGCATCATCATGTCTCGTCCCAAAATATACCCAGCATTTGAATGTTCGGGATCCTTTTGAACATTCTCGGGTCTGGTCTATTGTCTCCTACTTACTTGGTGCCTCTCACTTGGGTTTGAAAATTAGAGACTAATATACCGATAAAAATCAGGAAGGAGTGTTTTTGCAACGAACAATTTGATGTCAAATCTTGCTCAGTGCAAGGTATATATAAGACGTCAGATGTGGAAGCTCATGACCCAGGAAGCATATCCTGTTCAAACTCAGTCAACGTTATGAGTGAGTCTTTATCATCTCGAAGAGATGTCCAGGGCTAACATTCACAACAATAGTGGAAGAGATTGTCTACTTCAACGTTCCGGAAGATGAAATTGCCCGCCTTCGTACTGATCTTCTCGTTCGTCCTACTTCCAAACCCATTGCTATAATCTTCGGTCATGGTCTTTGGTCTGATCTTGACCTTCCGAAGACAATCCAATGGCTCGACACTTTGGTTACACTCATAGACTCTACAGTTGGTCGGGAGAAGTGGAAAGGTCTTTTTGTCACTCCAAACGCAGCAGGTAAAGAAAAGACGGATGAGTGGATTGTAAGTCAAGGCAATAAAGCATTGATGTTATATGAAGAGGCAGTGGGGATTGAAGCAGAAAAAAGAGGGTTAGAGCATCTAGGGACTTGGAATATGAGTATTCAAGCGAGAAAATATGATGGAGTTCATTTGGATCTGAGGGGGAATTTGGTAAAGAGCATGATGATTATCAATTGGTTGGCGATGTTGTGAGCAGGATGGAATGAGGGATCTTACATGAGAGGAATCACTTCAAGATTATCGCCATTGAAGAGTTTTTGCAAAAGGTATCAAGAAACAGTATTACAATCTCAACCTTTCGATTCAGATTTGACAAACGAATTGTCTTTTCGAGGTGACGGTGCTCTCGGAAGGCCAAGTAATTGGGAGTGATTTAGCGACCGTAGATTTGAGGTAAGGGATGAAGTTACATTTCCACCTCCTTAGGCCATCTGGTATCAAGTGAACCAACGCCATCAACCTATTTTTTGGAACTATAGTTCTTGAGTTATCAATACTCCCTAGATACCTACCTAGGTAGACTTGAGAATGTGAGATCTGATAGAAATTTAAATATTTACATCAAGTACAAACGAGGTTGTCCGTGCGTTACATACACGTCTTTCTCTTCAACTCAAACGCGTTGGTCGAATTGAGTAAAGGGATGAGGGGCAGTAATGGAATTTGATTTCTATCGAAACATTACATTTCCGTATGGATTTCTTGATCTTAATCTCTTTTTCTATTTTATTACTCTTGGATTTTCTGTATGTTCTCATCATACACCAAGTGTTCCATGACACCACAACATAACCTGACTTCAAAATGTTAATCCAAAATTCCAAAGATGATTGGCCTCTGGATGAAAAGTATGTGCTCTCACCTTGAAACGATAGCAATTTCTAATTTCCTACTCTCCATCATCAGAGCTCTTGGGACAGAGTTTGTTACTGTTCAAGTTGGCAAACAAAAGAAAGAAGTCGCTTTCCATAAGAAACTCCTCTCCAGTCGTTCCACAGCCTTCGAAAATCATATGAAAGTACTCAAAGAGAAGGGGAAATATCAATTCCATTGTGAACCGCGATTCGAAAACGCATTTTCTATCCTCGTCACATACTTATACAAAGGGTATGTCCCAGCGTGTCCTAACGAAGATGGACCCGGATCTAGTTCTTATGGTCGACAGATGAGAGAATTATACTATTTGGCCGAACGATTCGAAATCATTGATTTAATGGACAAGACCATGGATGCAATTCAGGCCCATGATTGTCGATTTGATCGAGACATCTACAAGCACATGCCAGAAGTCTACAAAAATACCACCAGGAAAAGCTCTTTACGGTATTACTGTGCTCTGAGTGCGGCGTGGTATTTCGGTCGCCCAAGCTCTCCCAATAGTCAGAAACTGAAACGACTTGAAGCTATCAAAGATAAAGCGGACATTCTTTACGATATTATGAAGTTGCAATTGAAATTCGAATCTAACATTTCAAATGCAAAAAGCGATTATCGAGTTCCTTCCGACGAAAGTGGACTTGGCCATTGTACTTTTCATACGCATAGGATAGGAGAGATGTGCCAACGACTTGTCTTACTTGCGTCTCCTAAATCCTCTCATGATAGCAAAACCCACGGGCAAACACATCCGATTAATATCAGGGACGGTGGTAATCGTAGAATGGAGGGTAAGACCAGAGACTTTCCGCAGAGATGTGTGAGCGAAAGCGAAAGTTCAGAAGTAGTAGAAGAGGGAGAAGATGATGACGACCTTCCCATCTTCACACAAGAGAAGGCTCGGCAGGTCAATGCAACTACTGTCTCGAAGAAGATCAAGAAAGAGGACGGTGACGAGGAAAATGACTTAAATCACTCTGCGAGCACAGTTGTCTCAGGGAAGAGACTGAGGAGTGAAAGTCCAATACTAGGAAGCAACGAGGATGTTATTTCGAATCCAGGAAAACGACCACTTGAAACCAATGATGAGGAAAGCTCAAGTAGGAAGCGACCATTCGTCATAATCAGCGGGAATATTTCACGAGATAGAAGATCTGAGCCTACTGGCCCTAGTCGAGGGGCACAGCAACAACAGCAGCGAATCTGTGACGCACTGGGCTTTCGCAAAGGCCATGATGACGATAGTTCAACCGGTATTAAGCCAAGAGCCCCAGTACTTTTCAATCAATCCAACGGTCAAATTACTACTATGAGAAACGATACGAGTCGTCTCACATCTGGCTCTATAATGTCGAGTTATGGTCGTGGCGTTGACACATCCAGGGTTAGTGCTTTCACATCTCACAATCTCAATTCTACTCCCACACCTCCCCAGATCTTCATTCTTCCACAAGAAACTTGTAGTAACTTCAACAGATTCTACCGGGGGTGCGATAATAATAAATGCAAGAGATTGCATGCATGTAGTATCTGTAGGGGGGGACATTCTGCTTTATACCATTGATATCTAGCATTAACCAATACAAATCTGAATCCAAATATATTGCATACATATCTCGTAAATCAAAGTGACCTCCTTAGATTTTTAAGATTTTTAGGTGAGACAAAATGTGATTGTGGCTTTTAGAATATTCGTTATTGAGAAAGAGATTTATCACATGCTTTCGAGACATCGGCCCGTGCTAAGTCGCGTCTCCCTCGATTGAACCATCCACCCCTCAATTTCACCCTTGGCCTTTCAGCCTTGCGTAGCTGAATCGAATCCACTTGACTTTGGATCTTAGCTCACTTCTATTGACAATTTGGATTGAATCCTCTCAATATTTACAACATCTCACTGATATCTGTAACTTCAGACAAAGTCGATCTCTATTGATTCTTCCACCATGGCTTCTGATGAGGCAAACGACAGGAACGAATGGCCTATAACTCCAGAGTAAAGGACTCGATCTCCCTTTGTATCAATTGAATGCTAATACTCTATAGCATTTTAGGAATTGAAACCGCAACAATTTGCAACGGTGGAGTCAAAGAACAAGAAATCACTTTTCACACCCGGCCATTGACTCGACTGTCTCCCAAATTTGCTCAATTTTGTCGCCGGAAGAAGCAAGTTGATGGTCGATTTACTCTAACATGCGCTCAGAATAAATATGATGCTTTCACATGTATTGCTCTTTATGCATACCATGGAAAAGTACCAAATGCACCGAAGGACATCGATCCAATCTACACCCAGCGTTTGAGATGGATCTATTATGTGGCTGAGGAGTTCGGACTCAATGATTTGATGAACAAGACGATTGATGCTTTACGAGTCTATGATTTCAAATACAAGCAGGAAATTCATGCTCACACCGAAGAAATATATCGCAATACTTCAAAAGGAAGCTTGCTGAGATGGTACTCTGCGGCATCAGCAGCTTGGTCTTGGGGACGAGAAACGGGACCTGCAACTGCATCACAGAGGGATAATCGCAAGAAATTCATTTCTTCTGGTAGGGGCAATCCGGACATTTTTGCGGACTTTCATCTGGTCGACCTTTTCCATCGGGATTATATCAGAGGTTTTGATACGGATTGGAGAGATGTTCATGATTCTGGTCTGCCAGTTTGCGCATTTCATTGCCATTCACCGGGAGAAACTTGTCATCGTACGGGAATTACGGAGCCGGCAGAAGTACCAGAGCATATTTCGAAGATTTTTGATGGGGTTGAAGATGCTGTGCTTTTGAATCGTTCGCAGATTATTGATACTCCTTCTGATCAAGATGTGCGTTCGAGCGCACGACAAAGTACCCCGCCAAGGTCTTCAGAGCCGGAAATTCTCCAGGCAGAAGATGAGAATCTTAAGTCTGGAGATAGAAGGAATAAGACTCCGGTGGCTAGTCGTGAAATGGTTCATCCAGTTGGGGATGAAGCAATCAATGGAGACCGAGAGATGAGTGTGCTTCAAGAGATCACAATGAAGAAGTCCACTACAGAGGAAATTTCAAAGCAATCATCAACCACTCCACTAGCTCCTATCAAAAATCCACCCTCAACAAGAGTTGTACCTCCAGGAAGCAAAAAGAGTAATCGATCGCAGAAGCATAGTCCAGCAAATTTCAAAAATGAAGCACCAACTGAAGATCTTTACGGGGCTTCTGATATTGATATGGATCGTGAAGCTGCAGAAAATTCCGTCGAACCAGGACAGAAAGTTACAGACTCCAAGACTTATGATGAGCAGCTGGCAAATGCATGGAGAGTACCATTGTCGTCATTTCCTCCACAAAAGACTCGAATTGTACCAGGTACCGTTGTTACGAACAAGCTTGGAAATACTGAAGGTTCTCAAGCTATACGTGATATTCTCGATATTCGTGATAGTCCCACTGTCACTGAGAATGGAATTTTGAAGGGGTCTTCAAGAAAAGGCATTAAAAAGAGAAAAGCCGTTGTTACTGAAGATGATACTAATCACGACGGTGACTCTGTCGTTACTAAGAAACCAAAAACCTCCAATTCAAGTCTTAAGTCTATCATCAAAACTTCTGTATCGCAAAAGGCTAATGGAAAAAAACCATCCAAAATTCAAAATTCCGAGTCTGAGTCTTCGGAAGAAGATAGTTCAGAGCGAAGTTCAGGAACTAGTTCTGAAATTAGTTCGAGTGACGAAGATGATGAGATGATGAATGGTTGGTCGACTGATGAAGGTTCAGACTCCTACGACGAAGAATCTATCTCTCAAGCTATTTCCCAAGTTGAGATAAACCAGGAGTCTGATTCCAGCGATAGTGATACCGATAGCGAATCCGAGGGACCGGATACAGAGCCATCCTTTATTGATTCCGGAATCCATTCTCATATATCTTCGAAAGCCACCTCTTCATCAGTTCTCGTCCAATCTCAACCCTCCTTCACTCAATCAAGTACTTCAAATTCACGAAATATACCTGGCGTAGCACCATTACGACCTGGGTATTGCCTTATCTACAACTACAAAGGACGTTGCAATAAAGCCTGTGGACTCCAACACTTGTGTCTAAAATGTGATCTTCAACATTCTTCTCTCCATCATCATCAATACCAGCCAAACTTTCGAGCTTCGAATAAAGATCCTTCGATTGAAACCTGCCGAGACTGGAACGCTGGTCGCTGCGCAGTCAGAGTTACAAATTGTACTCTACGACATATCTGCTCTATATGTAACGGAGGTCATCGAAGCATTTATCACGAGCACGACGATGCTTTTCCCAAGAGTGATAAACAGCGTCCTGATCGCACAGTAGGAGAATCCAGTCACTTCAGTCGAGAAGGCCGTCTTGATCATCGTCACTCACAGGCAAATTCTCCTCACATCTCAGAAAATTGGCCTGAAGCTTCTCACTCCTCGTCTCGTCGTCAACAGCATTATATTGAAGAGGTAGAACAACAAGATTCTGCAATCGAATTAAAATTTGCCTCGTGTCAAATGTGGCAACGGGGTACGTGTATTAGGAAGAGGACGAAATGTCAATTATCACATATTTGTGAAAGGTGTGGACAGTTGACTCATAGGACTGCGAAGCATGATACTTATATGAGTAAAACTGCTCCGCGGGCTTGATTTTTCCCTTGGTGATTGATGGGTTTGTTTTGCTGGTTGGCATATCTAGGTAGTTTAGCATGGCGAGTTTTGCTTAAGAGGGGCTTTATGGAAATCTTATTTACTGCGTCTTTTGCTGCTGTTGATTTTCTGCAATCAATAGTCAGTCTGATACATGCATTTTTCTATATTTCGAATAGAAAGGATTGAATTGGTGGAATGATATATATGAGAAGGTTACCTAGCGAGCCTAGGTACCTAGTTATGCATCGCGCGCGATATGCAAAATCAATATTTAGTATCAGTTTGTTTTTGATTTTATTTCATCTCTTCTTCTCGTCTCTTCTCTTAGGTATATCTCAAAATCCGAGAATCAAAATATACATACTCCAGATACCCAGCAAGTAATTAAAATTATGATCAAACCCTCTAATCATTCTAATTGCAGTCAACGATCTGGATGAGTGTCGTATTCCTATCATCGAGCTACCTCTGTAGTACTTAAGCTAATAAATAAAATACATTTCCCAAGATCTCTCCCCCAGCGAAACGAAATCCCAAACTCCACAATTTCCCATCTCCCACCCACGAGCCACCCCACCATTTCCACTCACTCGTACACCCTGAGACACCACACCACACCCAAACCCCAGCGAAACCCACTCATCTTCCTTCTCCCCACTCTATCAGCAATTTATACGATATTTACACAAATTACGCGTGATTAAGAATAACAAACTACCAATCAGGGGCTGTAACTCAGTGGTAGAGTGCCTCGTTTGCAATATCAACATCTCTTTGAAGACCTTGATGGTTGAAAAATTCGATGAAGTCCAGGGTTCGACTCCCTGCCGCTCCAGATCTTTTTGGGATTTTTTTGTTGGGTTTGTTGGTGGAATTGGATGGGATGGGTAGGATGTTGGTTGGGGAGAGGGGATTTTTGTTTTGGGTGGTGGTGCGTAAGAGGGGGGTGGTTTTTAGGCGGGGAAAGTGTTTGGGAAGAGAGGATAGATAGGGAATGCTGCTTTTGTGGAGGGAGGAGAAAGGAGGGAATAAATGGATGGATGGGATTGTTATTTTGGGCTTAATTGATTGCATTGCATTTAGTGTGTGTGTATTTAGAAATGGGGTTTGTTTTCTTTTGTTTTATTTTACTTTGATATTTGTTTTGGGGGTAAGAAAGATACCTAGCTAGCTATGCTATATTAGTAGAGAGAGAGGTATATCTGTCAACATCTATCAATCACTTATTTAGGTTTCTATTATTCTATTTTTGTGGTGGCCGTGTGATGATAATATCGATGATTTGGTTTAGAAGTTGTTGTTTAGCGATGTGGTTTTGAATTTCCATGTAGTATTGAGACACCCGATATACGACACACACGAGATGGAGGTTGATTAATAAAAATATGATCGAAGAGAGATAATTCATAGGTAGGAAGAGAGTTTTCTTTGACTTTCATATATATTCATATCTTTGAGGAGATGAAGAGAGAAATAAATTTAAACTTCACTAGTTCAAGTTTTCGGGTGGTATCTATCCACCTACCTATCTACCTAATATTTATCTACTCCATCTGTTTAGTGAAAAAGAATAAATAGAGTGAGGAGATATAAATTCTTGATAATATCATACATACATACATGATTCAATATATAATTGTTTATATTATCTAACAATTATCTTATAATAATCAAGACTTTATACTATCTCTCATATTGATTCGATAGTCAAGCGATATAAATAATACAGAACCTAATTATAATTCTACAACATGGTTTGCGATAAAAACGATTGATTATCCGGATTGGTGTGTGTATCCTGAGACGGATGGTTTTCTTGAAGTATATTGGCGATGGGATTTGTGTATGTATTTTATTATTCAGGATTTAGATTGCATGATCGGATATTGGAGCTTTATGTCGTTGATCTGATCGATAATTGAGAAGTTTTGGGATGTGGGATTTGAAAGCGTGGGATTGTCGGATGAAAATCTGAATTAATCTCGAGGTGATGGGTTATGAGTATGTGAACGTTGTGTAGGTCAGTGATACTGGGTATTGTATGCAATGCTTTCATTTTTGGTCATCTAGCTCTGGCTCCTCTCATCCTTTCCTCATCATTGAGATACTCACAGCCTCTCCTCTCTTCTTCTGCATTCTTCTATAGTATAGGTAAGCTAATCCAATCATCCTTATATATCCAATGCAAAGCCACTACCCTCTTTTGACAATGCTCACATTCTGCTGGAACGATATTACTTCAAATACAATTGTTTTCGTCATCTTGTTACTGATGTAGGCGACTTAGACTTTGTATCTACCATTGAAGAGCTGACTCTATGTCCCATCTTCCTGCGATACGTTGGGCTCGTCTTTCACAATGACCGCTTCGACCTTTCTTCTAGCTAATCTGTCGATGCTACTCTCAGCGCCATTTCGATCGCGTTGTCTTTTCCTCAAGACCCTTCCATTTGAGCTATCGCTGAAAGCTCCATCAAAATTTCGTGCATTGACAAAACTACCAGGAAGTCTGGGTGATCCGTCAAAATTAATGTGGAGGCATGGCTTGTTAGCCTCATGGCAATGAAATTCGCAAGCATGAAAATCATGCATGTATGTTCCGGGCCAATTGCAGGTATTGTATATTAGCTGAACTCGGAAAACATCAAATGCAAACTCGGGACATTCTTTTGCTGCGCTCAGTAACTTATACTCAATTGAATCCTGTGAAGCAGGTATCTCTTTCGCAGAGGAACGAAGAAGACAAGTGGTATCACAAGCACAAAGCCAACGGAGCTTCGAGGTAGTATTCGTATTCTCGTACAATCGTTTGATGTTCCATTCTTGTGGACAGCGCTTCATAATTAGTAGGTGATCCATGATCCTATCCTGCAAGAAGCTGACTTGGTATTTGGCTGCGACGAAATATAGCTCTAGCAATGCTGGCACCACCCCTATGGGAGTGGGAATATTCAAATCCTGATTTTCAAGGCAATAGATGAAGATCCCAAATTGTTCACATTCCTCCTCTACCCGGAAGCTGAAATCCTGGACTGACTCGGCGCTATTGTCGCAAAGTTCCCGGAAATATGGAGAAGCATCGTATAGCACGTCGTGCGATATTTGATATCTTTTCCTGGCTTTTCCAAGGACTATCACGGTCATTCTCGGCCCTGACTGTCTGATCAAGTTTATTAGACTGTGAGGTTGGAACAGTGAGAGGAGCATGTCACTGACTCTGCCATCTTTGCAGTAGGCTTAAGCGCCTCGGCAGCCTTCACTTTGGCTAAATGTTGTTTCCCCATATTGTGCTGCTCCAAATGGTGTTTTTTCTTGCACTGTATATCACAAATTTTGCAGTAATGGTGCTCATCTTTCTTACCCGACCTTCCCCGCAAAAAGAAGGAGAACATCTGATTGGGCTCTGGGAACAAGAATTCCCGGGCTCTGGACTGACGTGGTTGAGGGTCGGTCGAAAGGCAGCACAGGAAGGCAATGCTATGACTTTTGATAGAAGATACGCAGAGCTGCAAGTGTTCTGGTGTCGCAGAAATAAGCTAGAATATAATGATGACAGCTAAGTATAACTTGATGATTGGATATCGAGGACTGAAGATCGAAGTCTTGTATGTGGTAATTTTGCGATACAGTATAATGGAAAATTGCACCTTTTGTATACACAACTGGAAGGAGCTACGGGAAGGTAGATTGGGTTTCGACAGTCCCAGTCATCTAATCGGTCAAACTAGATGTAAGCTTCGAATCTTCAAAAATTTCAGAAACGCACTTTACATTCTAGACCATGAATGTTCCAATTGGATTTGGGTATTTGAAGTCTCTTTATTGGACTACAATCCGTACTCCTATAGACCCATAATGATTACCAGTTTTGTATGACACCACTTGACTCTTGGGCCTTAGGATCCGAAAGAACAATGAGGCAAAGCTGCAACTGGTAGTGTACGACAGGAACTGGCTCAATATTCTCAACAATGAAGGTACTCGATCCGCAAACTTATCATCTCCAAGACGAGACACAAAATGTTATGACCTCTAGCCTTTTTCTGCTACAAGACTTATGGTTGTATTGGATTCAAGGCAAGAGGGAGACCACTAGTCTTCAATAACCATACCTACCAAGCTATATGCAAAGGATAATTGCCTGTACACAGACTGATGTCTGCAATGGATGGACGTCTTGATGTAACAGTCTCATCGCTGGCGACACATAAGTGATATATACTTGTCATATAGATATCGCCGAATCGAATAGTCTAATTTATTCATCATCAGTACTTAGCAGTCATGCTATGAGCAATTTCTGATCAGCATATGTGGATTACCTAAACTTGAAGCCCCAAGATTAAGGCACGAACGATTTTCACAATCCTCTCAAATTATGCTGTTCCGCAACCTCAATTTCAGTGATTGCCTTAAGTTCAACTCCCACAGTTCTCAAGATGTCTATGTTTCGAGCCAAAAAGCTTGATCTAGGATGTTTTATAAACATCAAAGTCATTCGTGACCACACCAAGCGACAAGTGTTCGCTGAGCATGAGACTGAAAGGTATGTTTTCTTTCCTCCCAATTCCAGCTTGTTCAAGTCCCGTCCTCCTTTGAGTTTCAGTTCATTACATTATCCACTGTACCACATCTTGCACATTACTATTTGGCTCATGCAATTCTATATTGCAATTCCAATGGCTGACAGACAAACTTCCGTGCGAATAGACAAGCTCTTCGCTACATAATCCGCAATCTTTCACTTCCTCCTCGAGTTCGTTTCCAAGCACAGCTGGAATTGACTCAAATGCATTGTTATACAAGACCGACCCAAATTAGGAATAGATGCATCTTGGGAGGTAAAGGAAGAGGTATCTTGAGGGATTTCAAAATGTCCAGGGTATGTGCTTCTTCTATTATGGCTCCGGAATGTGAGGGATGTTAGAGAGAACGTAGGTGTGCGGATTATGCTGATCATATACCTGCGACTACAGTACAACTTCAGAATGAATGCGCTGTCGGGAGATTTACCGGGTGTTAAGAAAGCAAGTTGGTAAAGAATGTATACTTTGACCGAATGAATGGAGGGTGGAGGACAAAAGATATACGGACCTGCGAGTAAGCGTCAAAGAACCTGAAAGCTACGAGCCCAATTACGAATGTACGATTGCAGAAGTACTCCGGCGTTTGACATGTAACATATATGGGCATGAAGATGAGATTTACACTGGTACCGCACGCAAATCCAGAGATGGTGAAGTGGATAAAATGAAAGAAGAACAGAACTGTTCGACTTGTTCTATTTGGAAGTCATAATATAGCAATGGGAATTCTACGCATCTCTGAATGGAATTCTGTTTGCCAAATATTAGAGTCGTGCAAAGATCATATCTGGGTCAGGTTGTAGCAACACACGAATCTCAACGTCCATTCACATACGATGTAAAATATCTACACATCCATGTAGAGGGCGAAGGTCGATATTTCTAATGGGTAGTTGCCGTGAGAAAACGTATCGCGGCTGATATCATCAATCAACCTGCAATTTCCCGAATTAAGCATTTATTCTCATCTGTACTTGGTAGCCTTGCAGAAAACTTTCACTTCTTCTTCCGTCCTGAATGCAACCCTCTTCCATCTCAAACACAAACAAAGCACCACCCAAACACACAAACTTCAGATCCTCACCAAACTTCAAAGTTGAACACTTATTACCTACTAGGTATATTTCTCAAATACTTCGCGATATACAAATTCACTTTCATTTCTTTTTTTCCCTTCATTATCAAGTTTTGGTCCATTCATTCACTAAATTGGGTTTCTCTCACGACCCCTCTTCTCGTGATTTTTACCATCTTCTCAACTTCTGAAAATCTTCTCCATAAGTCAACGCAATTCAAATTGTTTACCATAACTTTCAACGAAACCCAATCAAACTACACTGCAAGATACACCAAGATGTTCCGTCGACTACCCTCTGGTCTTCCAAAAGACCCTAAATTTGAACCTACTCTTGATGGGCTTGGGTATATATACATCTCTCATATTGATACCTATCTTTTAACGGTCTCGAAGATCTCTAACTTGTACCCAGATACTTCATCAACGAGAAAGATGAAATTCGATCTATCGAGAATCCAAAGGCTTACTTCAAGTACTTCCTTACCAAAAATGATCGATATAATCAATTGCAACGTGAAGCTATGAATCGTCAGTTCCATTTACCTACAGTATTTCACTGAGGCTAATATGAAATCCAGATGCCATCCGTGATATAGTAATGGATCGTCTTCTCAGCCTTGGCCTCCAAAAGATCCTTCTTCCTCTAAATGTTCCGGAAACTTCTCCACATGTTCACATTCTAACATCTTCCAATCTCTCCACTGCCACTCGAGTCATCGTTCTATTCTACGAACCTAAGGATGATATTGGAGTTTTGGCTCATCGTGTCTTGGGTGGGGCAGGTGGAATCGATACTGGCTCTGCCGTCAACATGGTCAAGTATATCCAAGAAAAGGGCGCAGCTTCAGGTGAATCCGAGCCACCAGCCATCATTCTCGCCAATATGGGTCAAATTTATTGGTACCGTCGCGGCCGAAAGCCCGTCACCTTGATGACTTGGTCTGCATTACCTCAATCTAGTTGTGTCGAAAAAACCACCCGCCTTGATGCCATGAAAAATACAGTCCCGGGGAATCGTAATACAGATGAACATATCGATTACATTTTCAACCATGTCATCGAAGAACTTATGCCAAAGGTGACCAAGATCGATGTAATTGGGGTTTCTGAAGGTGCCATGGGCGTAACTCGTTTCTTGGACAACCTGGAAAATTGGAAGAAGTGGGGATCCCGCATGCAAGCTTTCGCAGCTTTAGCTACATGGTGGCAATCCATTGATTACAGGAATCCTCTTCTTCTCGAATGGATGCTAGCCCGTGGTCGTGTCTACTTGAACTCTCCTGAGCCGGCAGGTACCTACCTCGCAAGTCCTGATGGCACTCGACGTATCATAGCATTTGGATCTCCGGTGTTCAGTCTGAGTGAACCTTATTATACCGAATGTCTTTTGCCCAAAGGCTATCGTACGGTGGTTGACTTCTTTCATGAGGTTGCGGAATGGGACAGTCAAGGTGGAGAGTATGTAAATCCAACCTTTGTGAGAATGGATGATGGAGAAGAAGACTGCGAAGACATGGGCTTCGGGGATGAGGGATTCGGTGATGAAGAAAGACAGGATGGAGTTGAGCTGAAGATTGAGAACGGGGAAGTTGATAAGCGGGTTGATTTATAAGGTCTTTTTCATGCATTGGTACAGGAGCTACTGAGTAGACCAATGGTTTCCTACTTCTCTTGACGTATCCGACTGGATGCTGGGAGACAACGGAATGGTATAGCATAGAGGGACTGTTGGATCAACTGCAAACGAAGACAGCGGAATGATTCGAAAGGATGGTGATGACTTGTTTCAAGACGATTATTTCGATGGCATGGTTTGAAGCCATTGAAGTCAAGGGGAAAATTACAGCAAAAAGCCATCAGATGTACTAGGAAAAGCAGCGACTTGCATATATCAATGATCAAAGATTACAATATGATCATCCTGTGACTACATGATATCTATAAAAATATTCAAATGCACCTGTAATGAATCTTTGATATAAGGGACCCCCGCTTTGTGTGATAGAGCAAGCAGCATTGTAGGGAGTGCTTTGCTATGCTATGGAATATTAGAATTGAGTATATGAACCATTGTTGGTGTGTGGAGTTTCTCATATGAGTAATTACTATTAAACAATTGAACAAACTCAATTCAGAACATGAATGTACAATTAATATAAATTCTTCGATTTCTTTATCTTTTGGTAGTTTATTTCATTGCCGGTTGGAGTCGATGTTATGCAGTGCAGTAAGGCCTCAAACCGGCTGGAAAAACTTGCGACCGAAGCCTGAAATTCAATATTTCCAAACATTCAACAGCTTCATAATTCAAGTGATACATTTTGGTTCAAAATGCGTCCACGATTTCCAATACGCAGAATACCACTTCTTCGACCTTTCCGCCCACCCAATACCTCATCGCCAAGATTCTTTACTCAAAGTCTTAAACCAGGCTTCTCACAATCTCTCACTCATACAACCTTTCGCCGTCCAACCCCTCGTCCTCAATTCCCTTACCTCTCTTCTACCCATCGCAAACCTGCTGTGGTACGATACATTTCTACGGAGACGAAAAATTGGCTTAAATCCGAGTTCATCAAAGCTGGAAAATATATAATCTTCATTTATGTTGGTGTGAATTTGTTCTTATTTGTGGCATGGGGTATCCATCAAGAATGGCTCAATCACCAATTCCCAAGTCCCGGAGAATGGAGATGGAGGACGAGGGTCATTTACAGGATGACTATGGATAATGAGGAAGGGGAGGAAGGACTCGAAAGATTGATTCCAGTCAACTGGCAGAATTTGGGAATTGGATATAGAGAGCTTTTAGAGAGATTAGAGGATCCAAAACTTGATGGAAAGGACATAGAGGAACAAGATGAGGGAGGGATCT